AGTATCAAACGAGTGCTTTAAGAAACGAGTGTAGATCGTTGAAAGATGACGTAATAGATGGCCAGTTTAGTATAAAAACAGGCGTCGTTGAGTCAAACTAATATATGACAGAGAACTTTACGATCACGAAGGCTCAATCGGCTAGAGACGTAGAGTTCTGTCCAGTGCGGAGTACTGCTTGACCGAACCGAGCACGCTCCTTAGAGTGTTTGTCGAGTTGGTAATGCTTGATGAACGTGCTCGGCCGGCTCCAAATAGCCGCTGAGCAGATCTCCTCAATGGGCAGAGCCGCGGCGTACGCTTTAGACGTAGCTACTGCTCTAACCGAATGAGCCTTCAACCCCTCCGGGGGGTCCCTCCCTTTGTGTGTATAAGCCATACAAATAGTGGAGACAATCCACCGCGAGATAGACTGTTTGCTCGCAGGGGAGCCAGCCTTCCCACCGCCGTAACAGCAGAATAATTGATTATCCTTACAGATACCCATAGTTCTGCTGATAAAGACCTTAAGAATCTTCCAGACATCCAAGACATGAGCATGTCTTGCAGAGGTCCCGGACGAGGAAGGCTGTGAAAGAGCAGGGAGCTCGATTGGAGCCGTCACGTGGAAAGCGTGTGCGACCTTGGTACGGTAAGAATCCGGTAGGCGAATACTGACTCTGTCCCGGTAAAAGGTGGTCAGCTCGGGATCGGCGGACATTGCGTGAATGTCGCCTACCCGTCTACCTGACGTCACCGCTACAAGGAATGCCGCCTTCGAGCTCAACAGCTGAAGGGAGAGAGACGATCGATCCCGAAAGGAAGGACCGGACAGCCAATCAAGAACGATTGACAAGTCCCAAGGGGGGCTGATCCGCCGGACAGTCGGTCAGATCCTGTCCACACCTGCTAGAAAACGCTTCACTAAAGGGTGCGCACCCAGAAGTGCCCCGTCGATAGGTATATGAAAAGCTGCAATAGCCGTGGAGTACCCCCTTACTGTCGATGTCGCCAATCCGTCGTCTAGTCGCGACTGGAGGAACTCCAGGACAGCTACTAGATCTGCAGAAAAGGGATCTCGAACACCCCTATCGACACACTATCGCGCATAGCAGGCCCATCTATCCTCATACTGAACGTTTGTCGAATCCCTCCGCGAAGCCAGTATTGTGTCTGCAACTCGTGCAGAAATACCGCTCTTCTGGAGGCGATTCCTGACAGTGGCCAAGCCACCCACTGAATCCTGGGATTCGGGTGGAAGGCCCTGTTCTGGGATAGTAGGTCCGGTTGTAAAGGTAATAGAACAGGAGGCTGAGCCAGAAACCTGAGAATTACGGGAAACCAACTCTGCGCCGACCAAAGAGGTGCAAGTAGCACAAGTAGTCGCGCAGGCTGAGTGGCTAGCTGAGACAGGACCCTAGAAACTTGTGGGAAGGCCCACAGAACTCTGTCCGTCCAATCTAGCTGGAAGGCGTCCGGTGCCACCGACCTCGGGTCGGGGACTCGGGAGCAGAACGTTGGTATCTGGTAATTCGGTACAGACGCAAGCAGATCCACCTGGAACGACCCGTACAACCGGGAGATAACTCCGAATATCCCCGGGTCGAGCCTCCACTCGCGAGGAGCGAGGATCCGGCGAGACAGAGCGTCTGCGCGGACGTTGTCTACCCCCGGGAGATAAACAGGTATCACCCTGATGTCGTGGGTATCGCACCACAGGAGGAACTGCCACGTCTCTTGGAGGAGTGACGTAGACACCGTTCCCCCCTGCTTCCTGTAAGTCATCGCCGTTTGGTTGTCCATCTCTAGACGAACCACATGGCTCCAAAGCATATCCTGGAAGCGTTGGAACACCAACCTGACCGCTCTCAGTTCGAGCACATTGATGTGCAGTGAGATCTCTTGCTGGGACCATAGTCCCGATGATGTGTGATCGTTCAGAACGCCTCCCCAGCCGGAGAGTGACGCGTCTGTTTGAACTGTGAGAGACGGAACGGGAGTGTCGAGGGGGAGCCCCTGGGACAGATTCCCATCCTCGGTCCACCACTGAAGGTGTGTAATGAGCCATGTCGGGGTCTCGAGTATTGTCTCGAGGTCCTCCGAATTCGCCCATAGCTGGCGCAACGCTTGTTGAATGGGTTGCATTCTTAAGCGCGCTCGCCAAACCACATCTACTGTCGCCGCCATGTTGCCTAGCAACTGGAGCCAAGTACGAGTAGTGTGCCTGTTGGAGGTAAGGAACTGTAAGGTTACGCTCCTGACCTTGGCAATGCGCTCTTGAGTTAGGGAGACAATCCCTCTCTCTGTGTTGAAATTCGCCCCCAAGAAAGTCAGATTCTGAGCTGGGGTCAGATCCGACTTCTTTAAATTGACTATCCACCCGAGCGTAATTAGAATGTCTAGCACCTCTTGTGTAGCCATCTGGCTCATGTGGTGAGATAGTGCACATAGTAACCAGTCGTCGAGGTACGGGTGACATAACCGCCCTTTCGATCTGGCCACTTGGGCAGTAATCAACATCAGCTTGGTGAACACCCTCGGGGCCGTAGCGATCCCGAAGGGTAGAACCCGGAACTGATAACACCCCCCGTCGAAAGAAAACCTTAGGTATTTCTTGAATTCTGGGTGTATGGGTACGTGGAGGTAGGTGTCTTTGAGGTCTATTGACGTCAGCCATTCCCCTGTCTCTACAGCTGAGATCACTGCGCGCAGTGTCTCCATCTTGAAGGACAGTACCTCTATTAATTTGTTCAGCATTCTCAAGTTGAGAATGGGTCTGAACCCTCCGCTTTTTTTGGTGACAAGGAAATAGGTCGAGTAATAACCCTTGTTTTCCTGTCCCAAGGGTACTGGTTCTATAGCCGCCTTCTGTAGAAGCGCTACGACCTTTGTGGGTTCACCCGGGGCGTCCCGAGGGTTACTGGGAACCCTGTGGGTTCCCTGCACCTCGAAAAGGCTGCTGGGATCTACCCGCGCCTCGGCCCCTGCCTTTGCCTTTCTTGCCCCTCCCCGAACCCCTGCCTGATGGAAGCGGCTGCTTCCAGGAAGGCTTGGGTTGCCGAGCCAGCGTCTCGACATGGGAGGAGTCAAGTGGGGATGGCCGTTTGCGGGGCTTACTAGGCACTTCCAACAAGGCTTTTGAATCTGCTGCGCCCCCAGACCCCCGACCCATGCTCGAAACACACAGGAATCGGCATCCATATATACCAACCCACGAAAAAAAAAAAAAAAGGCTATAGACTAACAAATGGTCAATCAATTTTCATGGCCAAATTAATGGGAATTGCCACATCTCTACATAACTCCCAAATTTAAAAAACAAAAAAACAACCAATCCTTACTGACTCATTAAGTGAAGTCCAAGCTTTTGAAAACAAAAACACACCCACACAAAAAAATCAACATAAATTAATTCAACAGACACACAAAAGCTCCAAGAAATCAAGGTAAAGAAATAGAATTTGTATGGATCCGTGCCCACGTTGGAGTGTTTGGTTATGAACACGCTGACAAAGCAGGCAAAACATCACAAAAATTAGAAGAAATAAGCATCAGCCTACCATATCTAAAAATGAGATTAAAAGTATCACTAAGAGTAAAATCTTCCAAAAGTGGCAAAACGTACATCAGAAATCAATCTGTTAACTAAAACAGGTGCTCCAAAAGCAACTCCAAAAAACAAAAATCCTTTATAAATCAAACAAATTGACAGGGCAATAATCAAATTATAGACAGGACACACTAAACCAAACTCTCACCTCCACAAAATCAGAAAACACCAAACAGGTAAATGCCCTCATAGAAACACCTGAGCATGCACCATTCCAACCCGCACACCACCAACAACACAGAACAACCCTCAAATCCACAATAAACTGCAACAACCAAATGTCTCTGGCAACACTTCTAAACCCAGTAAACGACCTACAAAACTTCAAAGCATTTGTCATTTTCCTAATTAAAACAGGTCTTCAAGGCTGCATCTAATAAGCTAATAATCATGCGATCACCAATCTAAAAAAACACCAAAAAAACCCTAAAAAATATTTTTTTAAATAACTCACTAACTCCCTTAGTTCCCCCACCTATAGCACAGCATTCTTCAAAATTCCAATCTCATTAAAATCAGATCTAAGTTTTCGCTGCTGCTAAACTAAGATCTGAGGACATCCCATTACGGGTCACATCAGAACGACCTTTCGCGAACTTTGACCGACCACTGAAATTACAAAGAAGACGTCGACATCAGCCAATTAGAAAGCAGTTTTCACGAGCTTTACGGCACTCGTTTCAACCGGGCGACTTTCATTTCAGACTACGCTTAAAAAATATGCTGACACAGTTCTCAATTAAAATTTTGAAAACTGAACAAATTCGGAACATTCTGAAATGTCTAAGATATGGTTGAAATTGTATGGCAGTGCTTCACACGTACCTTGCTTCGCCTCTTCCGTTCAAATGTTTATCCCACAGAAGCAAGAGATAGATGATAATTTTGACGGAATCAGTCGTACAGGCCGTTAGTGTCATTCGGAATACATGATTGCATGATTAGAAAACACATTCCGACTGTCATTTTCATGATCTGGTAAGCGACGCTCAGATTGATTTCGTTCTGACGTGACCCATAATGGAATTTTAATGAGATTGTCAAAATTCCAAATTCCCTCCCCAAAGTAAATAAGCAGCCCTAAAGCCCCCAAGGTTGCCCTTCCTTTTCGGACATACAGCAAAACCACTAAATGCTCTCTCTCTCTATCTCTCTCTCATTACATTTTAGCCATTAAAATATTACAATGCTCAATCACTACACTAGTGGCAAGAGGTTGTAAACAATGAATTTACCAGGAAATTGCCCTGGAAGAGACTTGGCCTCTGCCTGATAACATCATACCAGATTTGTTGTCTGAATAAATTGTCGTGGACCCACAGATAAACTTGTGTTGTTATGCCAATATTCACCCAAGTCTAAGCGTGATACTAATGTAATCTGTTTCCTTCTTATGACTTATCATACTTACAATTTCATGTTTGAGTTCATCTATCTTTGCATGAAGATCTTCATTTTCTGTAATCACCAGAGCATTCTCATCCTTGAACCTTGTTCTTTGGCGCTCTATCTCTGCCTGAAAAACAGATGTTAATTTTACATCAAATTGTATATTTATATACTTATCCTATCTCACCCTATGCATTTTTTCCTTCTTCTTTCAATCCTTCTGTGGAAACCTACTTGAACAAAAGTATCCAGCTACCCCTGCTACATCATTCTTAGACCCAACAGGCAAGAGGAGCTGTGATGCAGGGATGCTCGGGAAGGCATTTAGTGTGTGAGATAGGAAAAGTTTATAAATATACAATTTAATGTCTACGATTGTAAGACAGAGACGAGGAAGAAAATATTTATAACACTACCTTGTGAAAGATCCTAACAGGGCTGAGGCGTTACAACATGATTTGTTCATTCAAGATCCAGATGAAAACTCCCATTTCTAAAATCCCTTTCAAACCTTCACAACCTAACCAGATAACCAAGTAAAAAGTACTAAACCTTCAATCACTGACCATTACTTACCAGTTACAGTAGAACACGGATATAACGAACTACAAGGGACCAGAGAAATCAGTTCGTTATATCCGTTGTTTGTTATACACGTTTTCGCTCGGAAATGTCCGCCATCTTGGATAAGACAAAACACAATACACGTAATTGCAGTGTTAAACGTGAAATCTTCATGGCCTAATTTCACTGCAAGTTCGCTAGCTTTGGTCTGCAGTAACGGACCATTGAGCGGAATGTTTTTGCTTCTCACGGCTTGACACCACTTGAAGAGGGCGTCCTCTACGTCTTGGTGATTGGCAACTGACACTTGGACACAATCTCGTAAAATGTATATGTTTAATGTTTGTTTTACAGATAAGATAACATGTACAGGTAAGATTAACACAATGCAAATTTAACAAGGTTGATCCATCACCACTGATTGAATTGATTCGCCACCATTGCGTTGATTCGCCGCTGATTGCGTACAACCAATTGTCAGTGACACTTGACACTGAGAGATTTCTCAGTTCGCTATACACGTCACTAATTAGTGATAGATGGGCTTGTCAGTGATCAGATATCAGTTAACTGTATCCGTGAGTTCGCTGTAGAGAGTTCGTTATATACGTAAATTTTATATGATATTATATAGGAGATAAATCGGGGATTGTTTAACAGTTCGTTGTATCCATTTGATCGCTATATCCGTGTTCTTTATATCCGTGTTCTACTATACTTAGTAAAATCGAATAATAGTTATCATTGTTAATAATTCTAAGAATACTACCTCTATTACATCTTTGCCATAAATCCTGTGTTTTGGCTTCAGTCACACCAACTAAAATTTTCAGATTTTCAACAAATGTCTTCTTCACTGTCAATCACACACAATAGTAAGCACTACAGCAACTCAAACTATGACGTGCGTAATGGCGGGAACCTCACTTATTTCCCACATCTAACCACTAGAGGTAGATGAATTTGGGAGGTGGGTGGGAGTACTTCTGATGTAATAGAGGTAGTATTCTTAGAATTATTAACAATTATAACTACTGTTCGATAATTCTTGAGAATCATCTACCTCTATTACATCTTTGCCAGAAGGGACCTGGAGGGATCTGTCTCTAGTAAATCCCTGTGTAATTGACAGTAATTCTCTCCTTGAAACCTTTTTTTTTTCACCGATTCTAATCCTGATAATTTCCTCTGAAATTCCTCCTGAGGACTTGAAAATCAGAATGCATCAAGAATCAGTCAAATACATGATACTTCCACTAGAATTACCATCATATTTGCGTATCTTGTTAGTAATAATGATGTCATTTCTAGTCTATTTGTATCTAATGACGTCCTTTCTTGTTAAATTTGGATTTGTGACACTATTACCGGTTTTGACGTCACTTCCGGTTCTGACGTCATTTCCGGTTTGTCACTTCCCTTTTAGTGGATAATGACATTTCTTATGGTCAATTTCTACCAAAAGACACCATTTCCTGATAAGATGGATCTTGTACTGCTATTTCCTATGCTGATGTCACTTCCAGTTATGATCTCACTTCCGGCGCTGACATCACTTCCGGAGGTAGTTGATACTCAAGGTGCTCCTAATCCATCCTACACCGTCGGATCCTTGCCCATGGGGCCTTGTGGCTTTAGCCATGGGCTCGTAAGGCTCCGTTAAAAGTGTCGATAACACTAATAGATTCCAATTGAGGAAGATACGAGGTGTCTGTCCAGTCCATCAATAGCGCATTGTTGTGGTGAGCCCTTGGGTAGGGAACTGGACTGACATATGTTGATGGTTCTGGCAGGTGGCAAAGAGATCTAGGTGCGGTGTGTCCCATAATGTGGTTATCCAACCTTTTAGTGGATAATGACATTTCTTATGGTCAATTTCTACCAAAAGACACCATTTCCTGATAAGATGGATCTTGTACTGCTATTTCCTATGCTGATGTCACTTCCAGTTATGATCTCACTTCCGGCGCTGACATCACTTCCGGAGGTAGTTGATACTCAAGGTGCTCCTAATCCATCCTACACCGTCGGATCCTTGCCCATGGGCCCTTGTGGCTTTAGCCATGGGCTCGTAAGGCTCCGTTAAAAGTGTCGATAACACAACTAATAGATTCCAATTGAGGAAGATACGAGGTGTCTGTCCAGTCCATCAATAGCGCATTGTTGTGGTGAGCCCTTGGGTAGGGAACTGGACTGACATATGTTGATGGTTCTGGCAGGTGGCAAAGAGATCTAGGTGCGGTGTGTCCCATAATGTGGTTATCCAACCAAAGATCTTGGGATGTAAGGTCCATTCTGTAACTGTAACGGTTGCAGCATGGTGCGAGATCAAAACCATGATGGTAAAAACTTCACTTGAATCAGAGCAACCGACCATCGAATAAAGCCTTCCTCACAAGACTTGGCATGGGACACAAAGTCAGCAGAAGATAGCAAAGGTTTTGTTGAGATAAGTTGAGAGAGGGTCGACAACAATGATCACAGAGACTGTGAACTAAGGACCGATCCCTTGGAGGTGTATAGTGGTAGGAGTCAGCACGACAGCACTAGTCATACATGGGATGAAACGGATCCATATGCAGGGGGTATTGATCCTAACCCATTCGACAGGCCATTCGACAGGGGAATAGCATATTCTAGGGAAATCCTAAAAAAAATTAAATGTACGATCTTAGTAGACATGTCTACAGTGTGGCGATGAGAAAGAGAATGATGTGGCAGGGGAAGTCATGTGATCATATTGTGTAGGTGATGATATATGATGATGCTGGTAGTGGTATGTGTTCCGGTTAACTGTTTTTAGAAGCTGGAAACTTTGTTCGAGCATATTTCCACAGATTAAAAAATGAAGGAAGAAATGTATAGTGTGAGAACCACTTGAAAGCAGCAGAAATGTGTCCAGGAGAGATTTGAACATTGCCCTACTGGCTTAGGTTATATTTGGCATGGTATTTAGAACCACAGACTTGAGAACCTGATGGAAAATTCAGGTTCGAAAGCAGGTTCTGCGCTCCATCTCACAGATAGACTGAATGTTTGGAGGCACAGGAATACAGCTTATACACTCCAGGGCCCTGTTCCACAAAGCGATCTTAGTGCTACAACTGTCACAAGTCAGTGTTAAAGAATGGGAGTTACGACCGACTAAGTGCTAAGATCGCTTTGTGGAACAGGGCCCAGGAACATTCATCTTCCCAAGGTAAGGGAGTTAACTGACTATAAAAGTCCAGTTTCCATACTTGCCGAACTAGGCTGCAATTATTGAGTTATATTCTGGCAGGACTTATGAGTCTATGCACTGTCCAATCAAAATGGCATAATGAAATCGACATCTGGTTCATAAACACCATGGATTTCATCCTGTAGATTTCTGTCAACTGCAGGATTTGCAATAGATGTGTACCATCAGCTGGTCGATGACACATATTTTCCAAATCTTTTTATGATTAAAATCAAGGTTCTCACATGATTTGATGCACTTCGTGAGGTAAGACTCATTTTATTACAATATATATCTTGATCATCTATTAGATCGTCTTGATCGGGCGCCGCCATATTGTTTGAAGCAAATGCAAGTGATGTGAGAGGTGGAATCTAATTTGTCGATAAGAGGGACATAGAAGGTACATAACTTGTAATAGCCACTGGTGGCGCTTCGGTGAAGCCCAGAAAAATTCCAGTTCGACAAGGGTGGAAACTTGTCTTTTAGAGCCAGTTAACTCCCTTGCCTCAGGAAGATGAAGAACATTAGGTCAACTGTCTCATGGGGGACGTTCAGTAATGACTTGGGGGGGGTGATATCACACAATTGCATGACCACATTGTTCCCAGGCAGTGACACATCCATCCAGAATAATGGATGTCACCACTTGTCATGAGCACTCAACAATATAACAATATAATCATAACATTCAAAATACTTCAAAAATAGGCATTTAAGTTGCTTTTTGATAAGGGTTTGTTGAGTTATTTATGTGTGGTGTTTCTTTGGTTTGTTTAATGCCTTGGATTGCGTGTATTTTGCGCCATATTGTTCTTGTGTCTGTGTGATGGTTTATTTCTTCGCAGAATTTTTTCCAGTTTTTAGTTTTTGCTGTTTTGACAAGGTTAAGTACTTGGTGATTTAGTTGATGTGCTCTCTTTACATGTTTGTAGTCTCGTTTAGCTTTGTTAAATGCAGTTTTGCGTTTGTTTCTAGTCTTTTTAATTTCCTCAGTCCACCGAGGTACCGTGGGTTTGACTATTTTGGGTGTTCTGAAGGGGATTGTTTTTTTTTAGCTATGTTTATTATGCATTCTGTTAAGTTTTGGCAGTATTTTCCTGGGTTTTTATTTTCGAGGTCCACTGGGTTAACCTGTTTACATAATGTTTTGGAAATTGTACCAGTCGGCTTTGTTGTAATTGAATTTTGGTTCTTGGGGTTCATTTGGGGTTTGGATGTTTCCCATCGTTATATGTAGCCTAGCCTTCACTCGTCACACTGAAGACCTGGGTTCGATTCCCGACATCGGTACAATGTGTGAAGCCCATTTCTGGTGTCCCCCACCGTGATATTGCTGCAAC